ATGGGGTCTCAGTGGAGACTAAGTGATTAGACATGGTAATATTGCTCTGCAGCGGAGGCTTTTTTGCCCAGAAAAGATCATTTGGTCTGATGTAACTGAGTGGCCCTTCAGGATCTCTAAAATGAAGTCCAGGATGCTCTTCCTGTAAGTAGGTTAGAACTGGGGAGGAAGAGGCTGAACACCTCCAAATCCCATCTTAAACTATGGCATATATAAGTGCTTTTATCTGGGAAAGAATCTTGCTGAGTATATGCATGTTTTAGACTATAAACACTCAGACTTGCTGGCTATTCTATCTCCCTAAGGCCAAGCAACATGAGAAGCACAGGAGAGGACCAAAAAAATTCAAGAGGCACATAAAGAGAAAAGGCTCTCAGACCAGTGCAAACCCAGGATATTGACTTAGCAGTCCTCAGGCTTAGTGATAAGTGTAAGATTTGTCTACAGATGTCATTACTGGGGACTGGGTGGGGGGGAAAAAAACAAGCCAGATTTTTTCCATCCCCCAAAATAACTGAAGAAACATTTGGTGGCATTTAAATAGGAAAATGCTGTGCTGTGCTAGTAACAAGTTTTACTTTTTAATATTTCTTTGAATTGCATGATAGTGATTATCAAAAGATGTTTGTAGTGTAAAAATATGTAGGTTCTTTTTGCTTAATTTTTTCCCCAGGATGATCATGTTGAAACTTTTGGTCCTTGAGACATCTAAAAAATTATAAAGCAGTTTAGGGACAAGCTTTTGTTTACACTGTCACAGATGGCTGGAATACATTAGTGGACTCACTAAAGAGCAGTTCATTTTAGTTTAAAATGCATTTGGACACTTATCAAAGCTCACATGGTGGCCATTTTGTTATGTATTTGTCTATTTTTGCTTTACAATTCCAGGCTCAAAGGCTATGTCAAAGTAAGGGTCAGGGTTTGATTTTGCTGTCCTAATTCTCTAAAATAATTTATTTTACATATGTATATACACATATATACACACTTTGAATTCTGCTACTGTAGCACACTTTGGGCTGTTCTGCGTGGCTACTCCTGAAGAGCACTGCAAATCCAAAAGGAGCAGATTAGCAGGGCAGATTTGTCTGTTACATTTAACTTTATTAGTATGAATATTTAAATAAAGCATTTCCCTCAATTGGTGAAGAAATGTGTCAAGTTGTAACTATATGTCCCCTTTTCATGTCAACACTGCTACTTGGAAGAAGTAGTGAGAGCAAAACTTTTCAGATTAACTTTTGAGATGAGATCCCCATGGTTCGGATTAGGAGTATGAGGGTGGCAGGGCTGATCTGTGGCTCTTTGCCTCTGCAGCCACATGCCCCTGATGGACCTTTCAGAAAGAGTATGGCAAAACCTCTCCCTCACTTCACTTCCCTCACACAAACTCTTGCTTCCTCCTTGATACCAGTGCAGTGAAGACACCCAGCACGGATGTCCTCTGGAGCTGGCATCAGTGCAGCCACTTCTTTCAGCTTTACTCTGTGTGACTTGCCTTATCCTGAGGAAGTCCTCACCACTCTACTGCTACTCCTACTGTAAGGGAAGAAATCAAACATGTAGCTGTATGAGAGCCTTTTGGAAGCTTGCCATATTCCTGGTATTTTCTTGCTACTTCCATTTTCCTCTTGAACCCTCCCTTTTAACTGAGGTACAAGTCTGTGCTATTAGAGCAAGGTGCTCAAGCAAGGTGCAAGAGCAATTTGGACTTGCTTCAGGTTTTCTTGAATCCCATGAATTTGACAGGTGAGCTCCTTCAAGTGTAATGAGTGATGTAGGTTGCCAAGTCAGATGTTCAAGTGTCAGGAGGTGCCGGATAGGAGGCTCTACCCTTCCCCCTCCATTATATGCAACGAATGAGGAGACCAGTCCTGGAGCAAACATCGGGTAAGCTTAAAGGCTGCACAGCAGGTTCAAGTTACAACTGCACAGCAACCTGAAGTCCAGAATGGCCCATTTTTCAGTATATGAGATGATATTAATTAGAGGCAGTTTTGAGGAGGGGAGAAAGTGGGAAGTTGCTTGTATTATATGCCAGTGTAGCGAGTTCTCTAGGCTCCCTAATGCATCATTGTCAGGATTTGAATGCTGAACTTCCAGAGCTATGGCTTACCCTTTAAATTCCCAGATTAGCTACTGCAATGGCTAGAGGAGGAGTCTTTTGTTTTAGATTGCAGGTTGTTTTCCTGGAAGCATTTGGTGAATTTGAAGGGCATGGCCTCCTTGCTGCCTGCTGCCTTGCCCTCCCAGCAAGGCAGCTGTTCCCAACATGAGCTTGTCGCTGCTGTGGTGGCAGCGAGCGCCTGGAGCTTTTATAGAAAGTTCATGTGCAATTATTTTGTTGGCATGTGAGCAAATTTTACCTGAACAGCACAAGGAACAAAAGGTTAATGGCAATTTTCAAAAGCCTATAACTCAACCAAGCCTCAACAGTCTTTCACGCCAGAAGTGAAAGTTAGGTCTTTAGTATCAGTGCTTTGTTTCTGCTGTTTTCAAAACCCTGCTGAGGAGAAAAAAAGTCATAGGCTTAGCATCTCTCCAGGAAAAAAGCCCAAACTATATTTAGGCTGTGTGATGCTGTTTTTAAAATCTTATCTCTGCTTTGGGAAGTGGGACTATTTAATATTCTGATGAATGTTGTACATGTCTTCCTGTTTCTGTTCATATGTTTACTGAAACAAAGTTCAGTTTAAGAGATGGGCTTCTCTTGCCCAGTGCTGGTCGAGCACTGTGTGCTGCAGCTGAGAAGCTTCATCAGGAGTGATCCATGGAGAGGCCAGTCAGCCTTCCGGACCTGCTGGGGGAAGGTTGGCCAGGAGTGATCCATGGAAAGGCTGGCCTTCCAGACCCGCTGAGGGAAGCGGGTGACTGTAGCAGGCTGATAGACTGGCTGGCTGTCATGGTTTACAGCCATAGTGAGTTGATTCTTGGGAGATGTGTGTGGGAGGCTAATAAGGGAAGTCTTCTCTGTTAAGAAATGCAAACTGTGATTTGAGGCAGGACACAGCTAGGTCTCTGAATCCCATTCTCTGGCCTTGTACTTACTGGCAGAATAAGTCCTGCTTTATTTAGAGGGGAAAAACTACTTCCTGTGGTGTCTAAATGCTGTTACTCTTCACTGGTTCCATAAAGCAAAATCTTGAGGGTGTCAGGTCCATTTGGCTTGGTAGGTAACCCAATGGTGACCAAGGATCTATAACCTGGAAAGCCAAAGAAAATGTCTGTGTGATGTGACACTTTCTCAAAAAGAACTAGAGGTTCCTCAAAAGGGTGTAATCCATAACGGGAAAACAGGGTAAGAGATAGCAGCAGCCACTGGACACTTATTCTAAGTCTTGTCTAAGGTAATGCTCCTCTAGAATGCAGATATGCAAACTGTATAGTTTTGTGCCTATTACATTTGTTATTTCACATGAAAATATTCCTCAAATTACAGGGCTAATACATTTGCTCCTGACCTACAGGAGTATATTTTACTACAAAAGTGCACCTATACAACTCCATAGTTAGCAAAGACCACTCAACCATGTCAATATTAAAGAAATGAACCAAAAAGATTTGGACATGTTGGAGATAAGTACTAGCAATGCAGGGGATACTGCTTCTGATTTTCCTGATGACACATTATCTGCTTTGCATAATCAGCAAGAATTGTTATGTGATAGTGCTGAAGCAGAGACTTTAGAAAACGCAGCTTGCACTTGAGGCACAAAAGACCACAACCTTATTTCTCCACATATTACCAAAGAAACAATCTCTGCTGGGGATCTCAGAACTGCTCATATAGAGATGGGAAGAAATAAAATAATTATAACACAAAATCCATGTTCTTCCATGAGAGGCATTCTTTCAGACATGAAAGGAAAAGGCAAAGCTATTCTCTGCTGCACCAAAGGGTCATCAGTGTCCAGAAGCTACTTAGACTTTGAGTCTTTTTAAAAAGCAAATAAGAGTGGAAAACCTTTATCCTTTTCATGCTGTAATACAGAGGGGCAGAATCGGGAGCTGACTGGATGAAGTTCGTGCTGAAAAAAGCATGCTGAGGGCCAGAGCTGGGATTCCCTTTTGGGATGGGGGAAGGAGCGTGAGGAACCGGCTTTCCTGTTTGCTTGCCAAGCAAAGATGGGTCGTAATTATATTTCTCTGTTCTTGTGGGATGGAGGGAAAAGCTTTGAAGGACTTTGGGGACCGAAAGCTATGGCTACTTGAAAGTGCTGCCTAAAAACTGATGCGGTGATCAGCTGTGGTGTGTTTTTTCCCCCCAAAGGCAGAATATTTACTTTTGCTGTTTTAAAGGCTGTGGGGAAGGAAGAAGTTTATCTGTGCGCCTGCCACGGCGGGAAAACTTACTTCAGGGGCACCATGAACAA